AGGTGAGGCAGATCGGTCACCGGCCACTGGACGGCTGCTCACGGCGTCTCTTGGCAGCTCATGCCGGCTGCCAGCCACTCACGGTAGCTTTATGGCAGCCCATTGCAGCCCCGTTGCAACCTACACCATTGCCGGTGAGTCACAGCAGCCCAGCTCCAGGTTGAGCTGTTGTTCAGCATCTTAGCTGTAGAGGGCAGCATCACTGGCCCTCATATGTGGGATCTGAACCGGGGTCCTCTGGCGTCCCAAGCCAGCTCTTAACCAATGTGCCACTCGGCCGGCCCGAGACTTACTTTTTACCATACCTTTTTTAAAAAGTTGTGGTAAAATACATATAACATAAAATTTGCCATTTTATATTTAAGTGTACAATGCAGTGGCATTAATTACATTCACAGTGTTGTGCAACTATCACCATTATCAGGTTCCACAATTTTTTCTCTCTCTAAACCAGAAACTATGAAGTCATCATCCCTGGGTACCTGCAGGGGATTGGTTTTGGGCTCCCTGTGGATAGCAAACTCCATGGATGCTCACATCCCTTTTCAAAATAGCATAATATTTGCATATAACCTATGCATGTCCTCCCGTGTGCTTTAAAATCATCTGTAGATTACTTATAATACCTAATACAATGTAAATGCTATGTAAATAATTGTCACACTGTGTTGCTTAGGAATAATGACCAAAAAAATCTGCACATGTTCAGTACAGATGCAATCATTATAGGCCTAACTACATCATACACGTCAGCAGCAATGTAACTTTTTTTTCAAATATTTTTGATCCACAGTTGGATATGGATGGCCAGCTGTACCCTTTAAGTGATACCTCCCCATTTCTTCTTCTCCCCAATGCCTGGTAAACTCTAATCTGTTTTCTGTCTCCATGAATTTGCCTATTATAAATATTTCATATAAGTAGAATCATACAATATTTGTTCTTTGGTATCTGGCTTATTTTACTTAACAAAATGTTTTCAGAGTTCACTGTGTTGTAGTATATATCAGAACTTCATTACTTTTTAAGGCTGAATAATATTCTGTTGTATGTATATACTGCATTTTGTTTATCCATTCATCTGTTGATGAACACTGGGTTTTTTCCACCTTTTGGCTGTTGTGAATAATGCTGCTGTGAACATTGGCTTGCAAGCACTGTTAGAGTCCCTGTTTTGAATTCTTTTGGATTTACTTGTATACCTAAGAGTAGAATTGCTGGGTCATATAGTAACTCCATGTTTAACTTTTGAAGAAGCATTAAACTATTTTGCACAGTCACTATGCCAAGTTATATTCCCACTGGCAATGTACAGGGGCTCCCTTTCCTCCATGTTCTTGCCAACACTTGTTATTTTTTCTTTTTGTTTTTGCTTTCTGTTTCTTCCTAGGGGGTGTGAAGTGGTGTTCATTGGGGTTTTGCTTTGTATTTTCCCAGTGACTAATGATGTTGACCATTTTTTCATGTGCTTATTGGCCATTGGTATATCTTTGCAGAAATGTCAGCTAAAGTCCTTTGCCCATTTTAAAAAATTGGGTTGTTGTTTTTGTTGTTGATTTTTAGGAGTTCTTCACTCATTCTGGATATTAATCCCTTAAAAGATATATGTAGTTTTCTTTTGTTGCAGTATCTTTGTCTGGCTGGCCTTGTAGAATGATTTAGGAAGTGTTCCCTCCTCTTCAGTTTTTTTAAAGAGTTTCAGAAGGATTGATACTAATTTTTCTTCAAATATTTAGTAGAATTCGCAGATGAAGCCATCTGATCCTGAGTTTTTTTTGTTGGAAGGTTTTTTTTATTATTATTATTGATTCAATCACCTTACTTGTTAATAGATTTTTTTCAGATTTTCTACTTTGTGTACCATTTTTGGTGGTAGTTCTTCTAGGAATCTTTCATCTAGTTTGTCTGATTGTTGGCATAAAATTTTCCATAGTATTCTCTTATATTCCTGTTTATTTCTGTAATGTTGATAGTAATGTCTCCATTATCATTTCTGATTTTAGTAATTTGAGCCTTCTCTACTTTTTTCTTTGTCAGTCTAGCTAAAGATTTGCCAATTTTGTTGATCTTTTCAAATAACTAACTTTTGCTTTTGTGGTTTTTCTCTACTGTTTTTCTATTCACTATTTTGCTTATTCCCACTTTAATTTTTACTATATTCTTCTGTTATATATGGGTTTACTTTCCTCTTTTCTTTCTAATTCCTTAATGTGAACAGTTATGTTATTCACTTGAGATCTTTTTAAAAAATTCGTAGGCATTTACACATATAAAATTCCCTTTGAGCACTGCCTTCACTGTAGCCCATGTGTTTTGTTTTATTGTTTTCATTTTTATTTATTTCAAGGTTGTTTCTAATTATCCATGTGATTTTTTTTTTCATCCATTGGGTTGACAGTTGGTTTTTTTTTCTTTCTTCTAGCACTTTAAAGATTTTATTACATTGTCTTTGGGCCTCCATTTTTTAGTGAGAAATTCACTCAAATTTGTGGTTTTGTTCCCCCCCTGTATGTGTATGTCATTTTTCTCAGGATTTTATCTGTTCTTTATTTTTGCTCTACATTGATTTGATTAAAATGTGCCTGCAGATACTTTGCTTTGTATTTATCCTGCTTGGAGTGTGCTGAGCTTCTAGAGTTGGTGGGTCTGTCTATATCTTTCATCAGTTTTAGGAAGTTCTTAGTAATTATCAAATATCTCTTCTACACATTAGACCATTTGGTATTGTTCCACAGAGCTTGGGCTCCCTGTGTCCCGTCTCCCTCCCCCCCACCTCCTACCCCCACTTCTTTCTTCTCTTTGCTTTAATTTGCATACCTTTTGTTAACCTATTGACCTATCTTCAAGTTCACTGATCTTTTTCATTGCTGTGTCAAGTTTCCTATTAAGCCTATCTAATGAATTCTTTATTTCTGACATCTTATTTTCCATTTTTATCATTTCCATTTAGTTCTTTTACATGGTTCCATGTCTCTGCTAAATCACTGAGTTCTTCCTGTATGTTGTCCACCTTTTATAAGCTAGGTCTGTTAGCATTTTTATCATAGTTATTTTAAAGGCCACGTTTAATTCCAATATCTGGGCCACCTTGGGGTCAGCTTATATTGACTCTTCTCGTTGATCATGGGTCACTTTTTTGTCTTTTCGTGAGTCTTAATTTTTTCATCATATGCCAGACATTCTCTATGAAAGAATATCAAATATTGGAATAAATGATATTTATCTCCAGGAAAGGACATGTGCTTTCTTCCTTTTTCAGGCTGTTAGATTTGGAGTTGAGTCAGTATAATCGGTGGTCAACCTGTTTTTGGGCTTTGGTGCAGCTTTAGTTTGATTGAATTTTACCACTAGCGTCAAATGTTTTGAGGCGGGATCAAGATTTTCCTTTGCTAGGGCCCTATATTTGAGCACTAGAGATTGTCTAGAAATTTTCAGCTGAGCTTCACAGCTGAGTTCCCACCTCTCCGAACTGTGGGACATCTCTCCCTGTTTTAGAGCTTAATGGTTGGTCTTTGGGACATTAGGGAGTTCTGTTTGCTATCCAGGCCTACCTTATGCTTTCTGTATCTTAGGAGTTCTTTTTCAGCCTGGCACCTCTTCCCCTGGCCTTTTGAGGGTAGCTGCCCAGTATGCCATAATGGCTTGACATGCTTCTAAGGTATTTCCTTCAGGTCTCCTGCCCAGATCCCAAACTTTAGTAGTTAACGGCTCAGATTGCCTCAAGGAGGTTTGCTCTGCTCTCCTCTGCTTCTAGTTGTTGGTGACTAATCCTGAGCCCTCTCTATGCGAAAGTGTTGTTGAGTTGGTTCCTGAGTTTCCCTGTTGAGTGTGCCTGGGTTTCTTAAGATTCTAATTTGCCATGCCAGCCTACATATGGCTTTTAAAATTTGGGGTGGTTTGTTACAAACCCTGTCTGTGCTGGATTCTTCCTCCTCTTGCTGTTACACCAGAGATGAAAACAGCCATAGGTCTCTTCTCTCCTATTGAGAGCTCATGACATTTTGGAATTAGTTTATTTAGGTCTTTTTGTTCCCTTAGAACTTGGATTTTTTTTAATTATGTTTTTGTAGTTTACAGTTGTACACCACTTATTGATGGGAATATATTCTGAGAACTGTGTTAGGCTATTTTGTCATTGTGTGAACATCATAGAGAGTCCTTACAGAAACCTAGGTGGTATACCCTATTACACACCTAGGCTAGATGGTGTAGGTTATTGCTTCTAGTCTAAGTCTGTATAGCATGTGACTGTATAAAGCAACGTGAAATTAAGCACTAGAGAAAATGATGCAATCAAGAGACGTAAACTTGAGATGTATGAGGCTGCTGATGAAACACAGCATAGTGTTTTACAGCAAACTTTTTTTATAAGTAGGAAGAGTACACTCTAAAATAATGATGAATAGAGGCGGCCAGTTAGCTCAGGTGGTTAAAGCGCAGGCTCATAACACCAAGGTTGCTGGTTCAATTCCCACATGGGCCAAGGAGCTGCGCCCTCCACAACTAGATTGAAGACAACTACCTGACTTGGAGCTGATGGGTCCTGGCAAAACACACTGTTCCCCAATAAAAAATTTAAAAATTATAAAATGATAAATAGTATAATATAGTAAATACATAAACCAGTAACATAGTCATGTATTATCATTGTCAAGTATTATGTATTGTATACAATTGTATGTGCTATGCTTTTATACAACTAGCAGTACAGTAGGTTTATTTACATCAGCATCACCACAAACACGGGAGTGATGCATTGTGCTACAACATTATGACAGCTACAGCATCACTAGGTGATAGGAATTTTTCAGCTCCATTATGATTTTGTGGGGCCTTTGCCATATATGCAGTCTGTCAGTAATCGAAACGTCTTTATGCAGTGCATGACTATATCTGGCTTGTTGAGGTTGTTAGGGGAAGAGAAATGATCTGTTTCAACTTTCTATGAACAAACTGGAAGTAGAACTTCTGAAGTGTGTCCTTTTGTATTTGTTTTTCAGATTAATATATTTCGGTGGCTATGGGTGTAGGCGACACAATGAACTCCAAGACTGTTTTGATGTTCATGATGCATCTTGGGTAAGAGAGGAATCACTGTTTACATTTTCCTTGAAGTCTTTAGACATAATGACGCCAATATTTCTCATTTTAATTTGCCATAATTGACACTATGTAAAAAATGTGTTTTCTATATTTTGGATCTGGATTCAATTAGAAGAGGTTCTCTCACCTGCATGGCTTTTGGCAGAGTAATTTCTTTTCTTACATCATTAATCATTTACACCTGCTTCTGTTAGATAAGTAGAGGCTTTAGACAACTTGGAAAAGCTTTGTTCATAGGTAAACAGAAAGGCTATGCTGACGTATACCTACTTTTAGGTACGTCCACTAGAACTAGAACGTCCATTATACACAAGAATAAGCTGGTAGTGATAGTACCTTTCCTCCTTATTCTACTGGTTAAAGAATAACTATTATTAATGAGAGAAGTCATGACTTATAAAAATGAAGTCTTTTAAAAGATAACTTTAAAGACCATTGATTCGGGCCGGCCAAGTGGCGCATTGGTTAAGAGCTGGCTTGGGACGCCAGAGGACCCCGGTTCAGATCCCACATATGAGGGCCAGTGACACTGCCCTCTACAGCTAAGATGCTGAACAACAGCTCAACCTGGAGCTGGGCTGCCATGAGTCGTTGGCGATGGGGTAGGCTGCAGCCCCTGTGGCAGTGGGTTGCCATGGGCTACTGTGTGTAGCCAGCAGCCAGCGTGAGCAGCCAGTAGCCGCCGTGAGCGGCCATCCAGAAGCCGGCGACTGATCTGCCTCGCCCAGGAAGAGCGCAATGATGGTGCCAACTTGGGCAAGTGAAGCAACGTCCTCCACAACTAGACTGAAGAACAAAAGGACAGCAACTTGTCTGTTCCTCTTCCCCAATTCCCCAGCGCTGTTCCCATCCCCCAATTCTCCAATAAAAATCTTTAAAAAAAAAACCAACCCATTGATTCCACCACCAAGATACACAGTAACTCTTCAATTTTATCTTCTACTAGCATATATTATTTTTGTACATTATTAATGTATATGTACATTTTGTGTACATCTCCTTGTATATGGGTATTTTAAAATTCTCCATGTGTTTACATGGTTTTAAGTTTTTAATATGAAATATCTTTAAACCTTTGCTACTTACAATATTACTGATAATTTTCAGAAATATAACTTTCTGTGATTTATATCTATTTTTTATTATTATTTTAATTTTTTATTGGGGCATTGGGGGAGGGGAACAGCCAAGTTGTTGTCCTTCAATCTTAGTTGTAGAGGGTGCAGCAAGCTCAGCTTGAAGTCCAGTCGCGCCGCTCAGCTCAAGGTGCTGTGTTCAATTAGTTGTGGGTGGGCGTAGCCACCATCCCATTCGGGAGTCGAACCAACAGCCTTGTTGTTAAGAACGCATGCTTTATCCACTGAGCCATCCAGGGTCAGCTCAGCTCACGGTGCTGAGTTCAGTCTTAGTTGCGAGCAGGGGTAGCCCACCATTGAACAGGCAGTCTTGTTGTTAGGAGTACGTACTCTCATCAGCTGAGACATCCTGCCACCAGTTGGCAGCTCAGTGGCAGCTCAGCTCAGGCGCAACGTCACTGGCTCATGGGGGAATCGAACCGGCGGCCCTGTTGCTCAGAGCTTGTATTCTTAAGCTAACTTAACCAACTCAGCCCCTCGGCCGGCCTTATATCTATTTTTAGTAATCAATGAAATCTCTCAATTTTTTCTCCCCTAGTGCAGTTAGGCTAATGATCATATCCTGAAGTTGTTGGTGTGCAAGTGGATTTTTTTGTTTAGATTCTAAACTAACTATATTGTTTAATTTATTTGCAAGTCCTGACAAAAAGAAATGATATACAATATTTCTGACCTAAAACAGTACAGGGTAAAGCTAGAGTAGTGCTAGAGGATTTCAGCAATCTGGAAGATGCTTAATACCATATAACTGGTAAATCTCTGCCTTGCCAACAGTTTTGTCTCTTAGAAGACAAAGAAGAGAGTGACCATAAGTTTGAACCAATTGGTAAGAACCAATTGCTTGATTAGTAGAAGTAATAGGAACTTTTTGGAAAAAGGAACCATAGTCCCCTGAAGTTCCTAGTAGCAAAGATTAAGAGTTCTGAACATGCACTTTAGAAAAGCAGATTTCAAAATATAAATGTGATTCTGTCCTCTGCAATTTTAAAAGAGACAATCCTTCGAGGGAATTGGAAGGTTGTTAACAAATAAAATTATGACATACTGAAAGCAATACTATGAGATGACAAGTTGCCAGGTGATGTTGCTATTGGTCTGGGGACCACACTTGGTGAGCCCCTGGTGTGTGCATTAGCTTTATGACTAATGTAACACGTAACTCTATTTTTGTAAATGTGTCTGTTATTTTACCAGCAAATATGCAGTGAAAACAATAATCTAAAAATTGTAAAATCTTTTAAATATTTAAAAATTTTCCCTTTTAGGAAGAGCAGATATTCTGGGGATGGCATAATGATGTTCACGTATTTGACACAATGACGCAGAGTTGGTTCCAACCAGAAATTAAAGTAAGCATTGTAAAAAACTTACCTTTATATTTATATATTTATTGATACTTCTAAAATATATTTTTTTACTAAGTTATTGGGATTTTAATAATTGAGTTTGTAATCACACACACACAAAGGGGTTCTCTTGAGTACTGTCACTAATACTGTTTTTTTTTAAATCACTTATTTTTCACCACGCTAGCTACAGTTTTCTAGAGAAACCTTGTACCGTGGTGCCATCATTATTCTTTACCACAAGTGTGATGCCCTGATTTAACAGAGGCATAACAAAGTCCATGATTTTAAAAAGCCCACGTTTAATAAACCCTTGAAATCAGAGCTACCTTCAATGGTAGCAAGATAAAAATATATCCTTACTACTCTTTCATGTGCTAGTGAGCAAACGGAAATTCAAATTAGCTAAAGTAATAACGAATTCTCACATAACTCGAACATACATTTTGGAGGAGCTCACACAATGGAAGGAAGAGCTGCAGGGACCAGGACCTCAGGAACTGGAGCGAATTTCTCAACACCATCACAATACGTTCCATCTCTCCTGGTCGGCTTCTCCGACTGTCTCTTTGTGTGCTAGCTTCATTCCATCTGCTGCAGACCGGCTGGCTTGTTTAGGAGGGAATATGGCCCTGGTTACACAAGCAGTTCTTTCTGTTGGTGCTGTATTCTCTCATTATCTATCTATTTGTCCTAGAAAAGGACTCTGGTTCTACTTGGGCAGGTTCCTACTCTTTACATCAGTCCCCATCGCCCAGGGGATGATTAGCCAAGCCGAACCCTAGCAGAGCAGGGTATTATGATTGATAAATTCACCAGAACTGTGTTTAATGGAATGCTGAACAGACAAAACCACATACACGAGCACGCGCACATGCGCACACCCCCCGGCCCCCACGGGCACCCACAATGAAAGCATGGAAATTATGCAGAAAATTCTTACTTCAAATCTTATTCATTCATCTACTCATCATACACTCTCTTTTCCCACCAATCCAAAACTTTTGTAAAGAAAATATCTGCTATATTTATTCAAAGTAAAGTATAGAGAAGTGTTATCAGTTAATGTGAAGAGTTTTAGGAAGAGATATGCACTGTTTGCCATAGATTTAGCATAATTCTTAGGGCCTTAGGATTTTCAGAATAGTAAATGAGCATTGACTTCAGATTAAAGTCACCAGCTGCATTAGCTTCTAACAAGAGAGTCAGCCTGTCCTTTGAACCATTGAAGCCAGGCATTGACTTCTCTCTAGCTGTGAAAGTCCCAGATGGCATCTTCTAATACAAGGCTATTTTGTCTACACTGAAAATCTGTTGTTAATGCAGCCACCTTCATTAATTATCTTGGCTAGATCTTCTAGATTACTTGCTGCAGTTTCTACATCAGTACTTGCTGCTTTACCTTGCACTTTTGTGTTACGGAGATAGCGTCTTTCCCTAAACCTCATGAATCAACCTCTGTTAGCTTTAAATTTTTCTTCTGCAGCTTCCTCACCTCTCTCAGCCTTCATAGAATTGAAGAGAATGAGGGCTTTGCTCTGGTAATTAGGCTTTGACTTAAGGGATGTTTCATCTGGTTTGATCTTCAATCCAGATCACTAAAACTTTATCCATATGAGTGATAAGGATGTTTCACTCTCTTTATCATTGGTGTAGTCACTGGAGTAGCACTTTTAATTTCCTTCAAGAACTTTTCCTATAAGTAATGGAGACTCTGAAGGTGTACAATCCCATAGGTGTCCCCAGGGGAACCTGAGATTTCTGCGGGATGTAGTCTGGGAACTGCCAGTTTTGATAAAACCCTTCTAGTTAAAATAAATAAATAAAATAAAATAGATGTTATGTATTTGAAAAAAAATAAAAAAGAAAAAAAAATAAAGAACTTTTCCTTTGCATTCACATCTTGGCTGTTTGGTGCAAGAGGTCTAGCTTTCTGCTTATCTCGGCTTTTGACCTATCTTGGCTTTCAACATGCCTTTCTCACTAAGTTTAATCATTTCTAGCTTTTGATTTAAAGTGTGAGACTCTTCCTTTCATTTGAACACTTAGAGACCATTGTAGGGTTATTAATAGGCCTAATTTCAACATTGTTGTGTCTCAGGGAATGTGGAGGCCCAAGGAGGGGGGAGAGTGATGGGAGAACAGCCGGTCGGTGGAGCAGTCAGAACACACACAACGTTTATCGATTAAGTTTGCCATCTTAAATGGGTGTGGTTCATGGAGCCCCCAAAACAATGAGAATAGTAACATCAAAGATCACTGATGACAGATCACCATAACAAATATAATAATAATGAAAAAGTTTGAAATATTGCGAGAATTACCAAAATGTGACACAGAGACATGAAGTGAGTAGATGCTGTTAGAAAAATGGAGGTGATAGACTTGCTTGATGCAGGGTTGCCACAGACCTTCAATTTATAAAAAATGCAATCTTTGCAAAGCACAGTAAAGGGAAACACAACAAAATGAAGTATGCCTATGGTATTTGTCTATAATTATTACTATTATGGAATGAACTTTTATATTATGCTTTTTAGTTGAATTACATAGATAATAGTAACTTAGGTCAAATATTCTCATACTAAGCATAAGAATGTGACTTCATTACATGTTTCAAGTCTTTGCACTGTTTTCTGATCTCTGCTTACAGGGTGGAGTTCCTCCACAACCACGAGCCGCGCATACGTGTGCAGTTCTTGGAAATAAGGGCTATATCTTTGGCGGACGTGTTTTGGTTAGTATTTTTAATGGAACTAACCTTTTCATGTGTGGTGTTTCTTATAAAAATTTATCCTCTGATTTTTTTTTTAAACACTTTTTTTTTTTTTTTGAGCTGAGCCATCCTGCCACCTGTTGGCAGCTCAGTGGCAGAGGGGCTGCAGCCTATGCCGTCGCCGGCAACTCATGGCAGCCCAGCTCCAGGTTGAGCTGTTGTACAGCATCTTAGCTATAGAGGGCAGTGTCACTGGCCCTCATATGTGGGATCCTAACCGGGGCTCTCTGGCATCCCAAGCCAGTTCTTAACCACCGCGCCACTCGGCTGGCCCAGAGCTCGCATTCTTGTGTGAGCTCTTAACCAACTCAGCCATTCGGCTAGCCCTATCCTCTGATTTTTATAGAACAACTGAACATTCAAATAATTTAGAGATTAAAATTCCATTCAATAATTTTTATCTTCTATTCCCAAACAGGCCATACATAAGTAATACAGATGATTATAAATCATATTTTAATGAGGAGAATCCTTCACTTTAGTGTATTATCAGAAAAGTTTAATTATCATCTAAATCCTGTTAGTTTAAACTCATTTTTTCCTTTTCTGAACCTTGACACATTAAGTTGGTAGTTTTGTGCTAATTTTATTAATGCTTAGCATTGTCTCCCAATATATAAACTTCTGATGTTAATTAAGTACAATAGAGATAATCCTTTTTTAATATGAACTTATTTTAAAACCAAAATTTTAGCTCATGAAAGATGTAAAACACTGACCAATTTGACATACTTTTATTTTAGCAAACTAGGATGAATGATTTGCACTATCTAAACTTAGACACCTGGACTTGGTCTGGAAGGTAAGTTTGAAATTTTAGTTTGTTTTTATTTATAGGTATCGATGTGTGTGTGTGTGTGTGTGTGTGTGTGTGTGTGTGTGTGTGTGTACGTGAGTGCACATGCACCATAATCCAAATTTGGGTCTCTAGAACTGAACTGGTATTTTTTTCCTCTTCAGATTACATGTCTAAGCAAGGAATATGTAGATTTAAATATAGAGTTTATTCTTTTTTTTTTCTAGACTAATATTTATTTCCACATATAATGTCTTTTTTTTATTATTAGTTTCAGGTGTACAAAACAATGCAATAGTTATCCTTTGCACCCCTCACAAAGTGACAACCCTCCTCCCCTCATCCACTGCCCCGCCACCCCCGATATCATACATATCTATTACAATTCCATTGACTCCATTCCCACACTATACTCCATATCCCATGACTATATATGTATTAAATTATAGTTGACATATAATATTATTCAACAGCAGCTTCAGATGTACAGTGCAGTGGTCAGGCCTCTACACCATCCATGAAGTGGTTTCCCTGACAAAACATGAGACCATCTGGCCCCCTAAGAAATATTTACAACATTATTGATTATATTCCCCAGACTGCCTTTTCTATCTCTGAGGCAATATTGTAATTACCAATTTATGTCGTCTCGTCCCTTCCCCTTCTCCCTCATCCCCACCCCCGCCCCATCTAGCAATCATCAGTTTTTCCTCTGTATCTCTGAGACTATTTCTGTATACATTACTCGTTTATTCAGTTCTTTAGATTCCACATATAAGTGAGATCATATGGTGTTTGTCTTTCTCTGACTGACTTATTTCACTTAGCATAATGTTCTCTAGGTCCATCCATATTGCTGCAAATGCTATGATTTCCTTCTTCTTTATAGCCGAGTAATACCCATTGTGTAAATGTACCACAGTTTCTTAATCCAGTCGTCTACCAATGGGCATTTCAATTGTTTCCAAGTCTTAGCTATTGTGAATAGCACCGCAATGAACATAGGGGTACATATATTTTTTCAAATTAGTGTCTTGGGTATTTGTGGATAAATACCTAAGAGTGGAATTGCTGGGTCATACGGTAGTTCCATTTCCAGTTTTTTGAGATACCTTCATCCTGATTGCTGTGACTAGAACTTCCAGAACTATGTTGAATAAAAGTGGAGAAAGTGGACAGCCTTGTCTTGTTCCTGATCTTAAGGGGAATGGTTTTAGCTTTTCCCCATTGAGTATGATGTTAGCGGTGGGTTTATCATATATGGTCTTTATTATGTTGAGATATGATCTCTCTATTCCCACTTGCTAAGATTTTTTGTCATAAATGGCTGTTGTATTTTGTCAAATGCTTTTACTGCATCTATTAATATGACCATATGAGTTTTATTTTTCATTTTGTTGTTGTGGTGTATCACATTAACTGATTTGCGGATATTGAACCCACCTTGTGTACTATGAAACCTACTTGATCATGGTGTATGATCTTCTTAATATATTGCTGAATTCTGTTTGCTAATATTTTGTTGAGGATTTTTGGATCTATATTCATCAGGGATATCGGCCTGTAGTTTTCCTTTTTTGTCCTGTCTTTGTCTGGTTTTGGAATCAGGGTGAGAGTGGCTTCATAGAAAGAGTTTGGGAGGCTTCTCTCCTTCTGGATTTTTTTAAATAGTTTGAGAAGGATAGGTGATAATTCTTTTTGAATGTTTGGTAAAATTCACTTGTGAAGCCATCTGGTCCAGGGCTTTTGTTTTTTGGGAGCTTGTTGATTACTGATTCAATTTCCTTGGTAGTAATCAGTCTATTCAGATTTTCTGTTTCTTCTTCAGTTAGCTTTGGAAGGTTGTATGCTTCTAGAAAATTATTAATTTCTTCCAGATTGTCAAATTTGTTGGCATATAGTTGCTCATAGTAATTTCTTAAAATGTTTTGCATTTTTGAGGTGTCTGTTGTCACTTCACTGCTTTCATTCCTGATTTTGCTAATTTGAGTCCTCTCTCTTTTTTTTTGATGAGTCTGGCTAGAGGTTTGTCAGTTTTGTTTATCTTCTCAAACAACCAGCTCTTGGTTTCGTTGATCTTTTGTATTGTTTTTCTGGTCTCTATTTTGTTTATTTCTGCTCTGGTCTTTATTATCTTCTTCCTTGTACTCCCTTTGGGCTTATTTTGCTATTCTTTTTCCAGTTCCCTGAGGTGTAAGGATAACTTGTTGATTTGAGATTTTTCTTGCTTCTTTAGGTAGGCCTGTACTGCTATGAACTTCCCTCTTAGGACTGCTTTTGCTGCATCCCAGAAATTTGGGGTCGTGGTGTTTTCATTTTCATTTGTCTTGAGGTATCTTTTAATTTCCTCCTTGATCTCATTTTTGACCCACTCGCTATTTAGTAGCATGTTATTCAGCCTCCATGTGTTTGTGTGCTTTCCGCATTTCTTCTTGTAATTGATTTCTAGTTTAATAGCAGTGTGGTCGGAGAAGATGCTTGGTATGATTTCAGTCTTCTTAAATTTATTGAGACTTGTTTTGTGGCCTAACATGTGGTCTATCTTGGAAACTGTTCCATGTGTACTTGAGAAGAATGTATATTCTGTAGCTTTGGGGTGAAATGCTCTGAAAATATCAGTTAATTCCAGCTGGTCTAATGTATCATTTAAGGTCGCTGTTTCCACGTTGATTTTCTGTTTGGAGGATCTGTCCATTGGTGACAATGGGGTGTTGAAGTCCCCTACTATGATAGTGTTACAGTTGATCTCTGTCTTTATGTCTGTCAAAATCTGTTTTATATATTTAGGGGCTCCTCTGTTAGGTGCATAGATGTTTACTAGAGTTATGTCTCTTGTTGAATCAATCCTTTTATTATTATGAAGTGCCCTTCTTTGTCCTTTATTATATTCTTCAAAGTCCATTTTATCTGATACAAGTATCGCTACTCCAGCTTTTTTCTCAGTTCCATTTGCATGAAATATTTTACTCCGTCCTTTTAATTTCAGCCTGTATGTGTCTTTTGATATGAGGTGAGTCTCTTGTATACAGCATATGCAAGGGTCTTGCTTTCTTATCCATTTAGCCACCTTATGTCTTTTGTTTGGAGCGTTTAATCCATTTACATTCAGTGTGATTATTGATAGATGTGTAGTTATTGCCATTTTGTTATTTGTGTTCCTGGTCTTCCTTAGTTAGGTTGTTTTTCTCTTCTGCTTAAAGAAGCCCTTTTAACATTTCTGCAATGCTGGTCTTAGTGGTAATGAATTCCTTTAGCTTGTTCTTTTCTGGGAAGCTCTTTATCTCTCCTTCAATTTAAAATGATAACCTTGCTGGATAGAGCAATCTAGGTTGTAGGTCTTTGTTTTTCATCACTTTGATGACCTCCTGCCACTCCCTTCTGGCTTGCAGAGTTTCTATAGAAAAGTCAGCTGATAATCTTATGGGGGTGCCCTTGTAAGTAACTTGCTGCCTGTCCCTTGCTGCTTTTAGGATTCTGTCTTTGTCTTTAACCCTTGCCATTTTCACTATAATGTGTGTGGGTGTGGGCCTGTTTGGGATCATCTTGGTTGGAACTCTCTGCACCTCCTGTGCTTGCATGTCAATTTCCTTTGCCAGGTTGGGGATGTTTTCAGACATTATTACTTCAAATATGTTCTTGATCCCTTGCTCCCTCTCTTCTCCTTCTGGTATTCCTATGATGCGCATGTTGTTGCCTTGATGTTGTCGCCCAGCTCTCTTAAACTATTTTCAATGTTTTTTATTCTTTTTTCTTTTTGTTGTACTGCTTGGATGATCTCTGCTATCTTGTCTTCTAAGTCACTGATTCAATCCTCTGCTTCATCCAATCTGCTAGTAATCCCATTAAGTTTGTTTTTCAATTCAGTAATTGCATTCTTTAGTTCTAGCTGGTTGTTTTTCATGATTTCTCTATCCTTCTTTTTATTTTCATTAATTCCCTTGAGCATTCTAATAATCAGTGTTCTGAACTCTGTCTCCGATAGGTTGTTTTACCTCTATTTCCTCTAGTTCCACTGATTCAGGAGGTTTCTTCTGTTCTTTTATTTGGGCACTGTGTTTCTTTGTTTCCCCATTCTGGCTTACTCTTTGTGCTTGCTTCGGTGTAATAAGTTGATCCCCTAGGTCTCTCAGTCTTTTCTGGGTGGACTTATGTAGTATGTGTCCTTTATATTTGAATTACTCAGTCTCCCTATTCTCCTGTGTGTGCGTACTAGAGGTATTTCTTGTGTTGTGTGTCTTCTGTTGAAGTTGAGCTTTGATTGCTTTTGGCTTGTCAGTAGGTGGGATTGACTCCCAGGCTGACTAGCTGTGAGGATTAGCTGTGTCCACAGTTTATGAGCTGCTGTGTGAGAGTTGACCCCTCCAATGAGGCTTGGGCCCCTATGGGCTCTTGTGCCTATAGCGATTTCCCTTTAAGGGTGACTCTTGTAGGTCAAACCCCATAATGCTCTGGTTTTATCTAAAGTTGGCCTCTGGGTGTGATGATTCTTGTGCCTCTTTGTCTGGGCCCTGCTGCAGAGTGATTTTAGAGCAAAACAGACCAACAAGCACAACCACAATAGCCACCAAAGCAAACTAGATACTCTTACATGTAAAAAACAACCAACAACCTACCCTCAACATGTACAGAAACATCAAACATACAAAAGAAGAAAACAAACAAAAACAAAACATCAACAAAAGAAACAAAGAACAAAAAACAAAACAAAATCAAATCAAATATAAAAAAATAAAAAATAAAAAATAAAATAAACACGAGAGACAAACTAGCAATGCTCAAAAAAATTTGCAGAAAAATGTAAAGAGGAAGGAAAAGTAGAGCAGTGAAAAGAAAGAAGAAAAGAAGGGAGAGAGAATTTAAAAAAGAAGTAAAGAAAGAGAAAAAAAATACATATACATGTCTACACACCCATATATATGGACATGTATATCCACATATATACACCTATATATATATATGCCTATATTAAAAACTAAAAATGATAATGAAAACGAAATAAAAACAATCAAAACAAGCAACCACAAAAAAAATAATAAAAACACCCAAAAAAACCAAAACAGCAACAAAAAACATGCAAAAAAAAACAACAAAAAAAAACCAGTGCCAGGCTTGACAAAAGTCCATCAAGCTCTCTCCAGCTTGTCCTCTGCTATACAAAAACTCCTCTGCATCTTGTGGGAGCAAAGCCAGCCACCTGGTGCCTAGAGTAACCCTGACAATGCAGGTGTATTGTAGATGAGTGGGGTAATGACGTGTGATTGATATTTTACAAAGTCAGTGCCGTTTCTGCTCTCACTTGCCCTGAGGCACGCTGAGTGCTGCATAGCCAGAAGGCTCTATGTGCATCTTCTGGCACTCTTGCTGCTGGAGGCTGTGGGGGGTGTGAGATTTTAGAACTGCTAAAAGCAAGTGACTGAGCAGCTGAAGTTGCCCTGCCTCCCAAGCCCTGCAGGAGAGGTTGGGGCAGGGTATGTAGGCTCACACTCTGCAGCCTCTTCTCATGCGGAGTTTCTCAACACCCTGGGGGTAGGAGCACCTCTGTAATCTGACCCTACTCCTCCATTCAGGGGTCAGCTTAAGACTGGCATGGTGGGGGCCTTGGTTTCTGAGGGAGGTTGCGGGTGGGTTCTTATCTATGCAGTTTTTACTTCTGTCCAAGAAAAATAAAAAATAAAAAAGTCCCACCGCCATTTTGAGCTGAGGCTTCTGCCTCAGACACTCCAGCTGAGTTTCTGCTGAGCTCCCAGAGGGACCACAGGGACTAAGCCCACCCTGCCACTGCTACTCTCTTTGTTCTGCCTCCTGGGGTCCTGCGTTTCTGCAGCTGCCATGCGTTTCACTT